TATCTCTTGTAAGATCAATAAGAACTTGAGCCTTTTGCGTAGAATTAAGCATTTATTGCCATTTCACGCCCGGTTACTTTTTTATAATAGCTTCATTGTGCCCGTTTTTGACTATGCTGATGTAGTTTGGGGCGACAAAGACAATGTTACTTTAATGGGAAAGTTGCAAGTACTCCAAAATAAGGCAGCTAAGATTATCCTTGATAGACCTTTTTATTCTTCAGCAACAGATGCACTCTCATCACTGAAATGGTTGAGTTTAGGGAAACACAGACTTTACCATCGCTGCATATATATTTACAAATGTGTTAATAATTTGAATAACCATTATTTAAAAATTGTAAAAAACAGTGAAACCCATTCATATAATACACGTACTAAAAATAATTTAAGATTACCGAAAGTAAAGAGAAACTGGGGTAAACAACGGACATGCTTCCAAGCCATTAATGATTGGAATAATTTAGATTTATCTATCAGAGATTCGCCATCTTTAAGCATTTTTAAATCAAAGTTACGCTCTCATCTTTTTACCACCTTCTCTTAGTTTTTATATTATATGCTATTTATTTTTGTATTATATTATTTATTTCTTTTTAAAGTTAGCCATAGTTTTATATAGATATAATTATTTATATTTTTATCTTAATTCCATGTAAATATTAGTTTAACTTTTTTTAGGAATTATATGAAAACCACACTTATGTGATAGTTTTTTCCTAATAAAAGATTGTTATTATTATTTTAAGTACAGTCCTCAATCTACTCACCCCTCTTTCTGCAGATTCTCTTCTGGTTATTATCGACGTTATCTCACTCTACACCAACATACCCCAGAATGAGGGCATATCAGCATCCATAGAAGCCTTCAGCTAGTTACCCTACCAGTCCAGGCCCCCTTTGGATGTTTTCCACAAATTCTTCGATTTCATTCTCAAACATAATTATTTTTCCTTCAACAAACAGTTCTATAAATATTTTCTTAAATCAATTAGAACGCAAATTCTTTTCAGAAACACCTAATAACTTACAACCACTTATCTGGAAAAGGTACATTGATGATATTTTTATGATTTGGACACACGGCAGAAACACATTAGGAAACTTTTTAGAACACCTCAATAGCTTCCACTCCACCATCAAATTCCAGTCTTCTATCTCACCAACATCTATAAACTTCCTGGACCCCACTATCTATGTCACGGCAGATAGAAGATTGGAATCAACCGTATATATCAAACCTACAGATAGCAGGTTGCTTATACACTATACCTCTCACCACCCTAGGCAGTGTAAGTCAGGTACTATCTACAGCCAAGCACTTAGACTGAGACACATCATCACTGACAACGAAGAACTAAACAAACAACTACTACGACTGAGACTGATTCTACTCTCTCATCAACCATAACTTCCATAAAATCCTTCATCTATCTCAATCACAACTCCTCCATCATCCACATAACACACGTGACAAGGAAGGGGTCCTCCATTCTACATACAATACCATCCATACTTCATAAATTTTGGTTTCTTATCTCTAAAAACACAGAACTCTCCACCATATTTCCAAATCAACCCACCACCGCATTCAGTAGACATTCAAATTTAACCCCCTCTAGGGGTCTCTCCTCTTCCGTCGACACTTTTTACCAAATTATGGCACATAATAATGTATGGATTTTGGACTCTTTGGTCCGTCGCATTTGAAAACAAAACACCACGGATTTACTAACTCCAACAACAAAAAAATAAATAACCTTTGGATTTGCAAACTCATTCAGGAACAACATTATTTTCAAACATTAATTTGCTGCTCATCTTGGTTTCGTTTTTGGATTCGCAAGTTTACTCTTTGGAAAATTTTGGAACATTATCCTATTCAAGGATTTTCACTTACATTGTTGGATTTTGCATTATATGGATTATGCCCTTGGATAAACTTTTACCTATTACGTTTGTGGCTCGTTTGGCTGCCATCCCTGGGTCTCTACTCCCTGGGTGGGGTTGGGTGGGGGTTCTGGTTTTTACCTTCTTCTAGGAATTATAACACACAACAAAGTCAGGACCAAAATCTCCACTGTTAGAGAAGGGAAATCCTTTTTAGACCATAAAACGCACAGATGTTACAAGTATATAAATCAACATATCAAACGCAACAAAGTAGTCTGCAAGTAACATAAGAGAATATACCAGACCACGAATAGTGGAACAACGAACCTGATATGAGTTGCCTCGAGAAGGAAAAGGAACAGAGGAAGTGGATCTTCTTCCTGTCTTCGCTTGGGTTGGGGGTCCTGGGTTTGGTGGCCATCCCCACACATCACTATTACTACATTGGCCCTACACTATAACTTTTGCAACAATTGACATCTTCTTCTTCTAAGTCTCAAGTCACGTTCACTCCAGGAGCATTCTCATACACATTTAGCCTGTCAGTCGGGCTTCTTCAAGAAAAAGACCATAAACTTTCTCCACGTCCAATCAAGACAGACACACATACAAACACTATGTTTGTTTCTCAACGGTTTTTTCCTTACCCCTATATTTTTATCATACAAAGTACCTTTTTCAAACATGTCTCGCGTGTGTTTCATCTTTTAAATAATTTCGCGTTACTTTTTTACCGGCTTTTGGTTCATCATTTACAATGTGGAGACTGAACACAAGCTCCTTTACTTAACGTTCTCCTACTTTTTCCTTTTTTCGGTTTTTATTTTAGATTTTTGGCTCATCATTGCATGTAAGTCGGTTTTGGCAAATCCTTACACTAGATCGAAAAAACTTTCCCTTTATCCCACAACAGCACATATATAAATGGATGAATATCCACATGGTTGCCACATGTAGGGTTGAGCTCTAAGGCCTTGGAGTATGAAACACGTTTGTCATCCACCATAATGACAAAAGTTTATCATGTCAGCCCCTGATGAGTAATGTTAAACTGGGTCTATCATGACACCAGGATCAATCCATTTATATTTAATATACATGTATATTTCTTACACGAAATCACCACTCCACAACACACAAAAACCAGCCCCTCCCTTAACAATAGAGTCCGATTACCCAAATACTTCTAAACTCATTACCAGCAATCCAAGACATGTGACGTCAGAGCCCCCTAACTTTTATCTTGAGAATAAGTTCTATTTATTTATGCAAGTTACGACATGACGCAAGAAGGAATAAAAATATTGAGAAATGACTGTTATATTTAGTCTGTAATTCAGCGAAAAATATCTAATTTACCTTGTATTCGGCATCGCCTGCCATCGATAGTTAACATGAATCCATGTGGTCCCAACCTCTTAAAATGCTCCTGAGATTTAGGCCTTTTTAATGCTGTTTTAGAAGACTTCCCAAGTAATAACACAAGGACGCACACAAACAGAAAAAGGTGATGCTTTTTTAGTTCTAAAATTTGCCATTTTACACCAGAATGTTATAAAAATGACCAATAAATCCCACAAAAAGCTTGTTTCGCTCGCAATGTCGATTGTAATGTCTACAGCTTAGTAGCCTGGTGATTTTGCATGAAAATAGCGCTGTCCTTTAGCACTGAAAGCCCATAAACCCAAAAAACATTTATGGCAGCTTTGAAATGGAAGAGGGAATTGGGGAGGCAGAATTAAAGTTCAGTAAACTAGAGGAAGAGAATAATGAATTGTTGGTTTATATTCAGCACCTAGAAAAAAGGCAGGCTTCATGTGTCAATCAGCAAAACAAATTGATCAACTTGGTCAGAGACAGAAACTTAGAAGGATTAAGACTAAAGAAAAAGCAGAAATTGCCCTCTGGTTTCTTCACTCACATGGATTAGAACTGTCTTTCCTCAAAGTTGTTGAGAAAGGGAGTGGCAGTAGTCACACATTTAATTACAGCAACAATCAGGACAACAATGAGAATGAAAGGGATAAAAATGGAAATGAAAAAAATGATAGTGATGAGGAAAACTTGACAAGTTTGCTTGACAAGTTTGTGCAGGGGATGAGTTATACCATGAGCTGTCAATCATTTCAGATGATCTACCACGATCATATTTGATCAAGCAGAAACGAAGTTCCTTGAACCAATTATGCCATGTGGAAAGAGTATCTACAAGAACAATCAATTACTATCAACAAAACGGTTAAAAGCCAATCTTGCCTTCTTATCGGAGGCTCCGTTAATGAGACAGCCATTTAGTAGCTATAGCCAGCTTGTCTGGTGGAGTATATTGTATACCGTACGTAGTTACTCGGATAAGTGCTTCCACCGGAATAAGCACCTCAAATAAGCGCCACCTTAAGAAAAAAAATTTAACAAGCTCCTCCACCGAATAAGCGCCCCATCCACAAATAAAACCACAAGGTCAAATAAACTCTAACACATTTTAACAATTCTTTCGTTCAAATTTGTTACAGTTTCTTAAGTGCTTCTTGATATAGCACACTATTATCAATACTGTTGTAATATTGAGTACTATTGATTAAAAAAAAAAGACATACAGAAGTGCAAGAACGCAATGATTCCATTTAATTCAGCACCTCCCTCGAATACGTTTGACATCTTTTAATGTGGCTATACTGCGAATGATGGGTGCAACGATTTGAGAGTATTTATAGACAATGAATCTCTTTCTTTCCTGACCAACTACACTACTTCGTGAAGCTCAGTTATTTTGCTTTACAAAGAATTATCAATCCAATATATTGGGAGGATGATCATACCAATTTCTCGATGAATATTATAAAACATGCACTATTTTGTTAATATTCATTTCAACTAGATGCTCTAACAGTGTTAATTATTGAGCTCCTAAAATAGGGTTAATATCCTCGTCTCAACAGTGGAAGTTGATTTTAGTATGTTTTTGTTAATAGATGACGACAGATTGATGTATTGATTTTTATTTTTAAAGGGATCCTACACTAAAAATGAACTTGAGCTTCATTTACAATTCAGAGGCCGCTGATTTCAAATTTCATATCCATTTTTTTCCAAACTCTGCTTGTTTTCTCGAAAAATAACGTCAAAGGTACGAAAAATATCCGAATGGGATACCTGTGTTTTTCGACGAAGACTTATGACGTCATGTCGTGGTTTTGGTGTGAATGAAACAAACATGGCGGCGTCTTCGAAGACTACTTTGCCTTTTCAATTCGAACCGGAATATGGCGAAGGGGACTCGCAAAATGACGATATTAGTTTAGAAGATGATGAATCAGAAGAAGAAGAAACCGAAGGAGGAAAAGTTAGGGGAGATCCTTCGTCATGGTGTTTATGTGGGCGGTGTGAATTAATGGAGACTGCTTCGATGTGTGTGTGTTGTAAAGACCTAGGATCTGTTTCTCATTTAGTCGGAGGTATGCCTTGAAATAAGAGCAGTGTTGATTTTGGCTTTCTAATATAGTTTCACGATTCTGTCTCCAAGATATTGAGTGTGTAACATGCCATCAGAGTTTTAAGAACGTGTGCTTGAACCGAGATGTGTTGTGGACTGCACTGGTTTCACTTCATGATAGAGAAAGTTCTCATCTTCCTAGTCATGACCACATACTGAATGAGTAAGTCAAGTGCACTTTTGACCTCTTGATAGGAACTAGCTACAATAGTTTACTTAAAAATTGCAGATCTTTACGCTATGCTGCAACAGGCAATTTACTTGGTGGAAACAAGGCCACTTGGGCAAGAGTGTTAGACGGGTAATTCCATCATGTGTTGTTAAATATATACGATCTTCGTTTCCTGACCCAAATGGCGTTTACACCGGGTTTAAAGATGTCGATATTAATGGAGAAACAGAAATTGACTTGGCATGGGAATTTTAATTGTTATAGTTTATAAGCTTATACGCGACTTTCATAACCTCTGACGAAGCGCGGACACTGGGAACGAGTTTTCACGGAAACGAGGCCACAAAGGCCTCGAACCAAAACAAATGTGACTCGTGAAGCGTGCTGAGCACTCAAAGCTAAACGATCGGCATTATTCTTTATACAATACATTATTAAGGGTCCCTTTTGAAGAGGTTTTTAAACTGTCACAGTCCTTTGTCTTTCAAAGCCAAAACACAGCAATGCCCAGTCATTGCTGTGTCTACGATTGTAAGAAAAAAGGATATAGAGATGTAGAAGGAAACAAGATTTCTTACTATAAGTTTCCGAGCGAAAAAAGTTTAAAATCCAAGTGGAAANGAAATAGTACTTTCGAGCTATTTCTCTGTTTGGTAATATACTGTGTTACGACAGCACTAAAATCACGTATTCAACACCGCACGTGTCAATGACCTAATGACGTCATTATCATTAGCGTTACCACCCCAGACAGCTCTCGACAAAATGTTTGTGAACATCCCCACTCCCCTGTTACAAAGTTGAGATTCTCAAAAGGAAGCCCTGGCTGACAAGATGAGAACCAACTTTGAAACAGGGGTGGGGGGATAATATGGCAGCTAGATGTTCGAATATTTTTGTCGAGAGCTGTAGCTTACCAGAAGAACATCATGGTACTGTTGGTTGTCAAAAACATGTGGATATTCAGAGCCAAAACTAGTATCCATTATGCTTGAAAGAAACTGTGTAGAAAAATGTACACTAACACATTCAGTATTTAATTAGATATTAAAAGGGTTTTGTTTTAGACAATTATGTATGTTTTTATTACAAAATCAACATGTAATAGGGCTAAAACTACAACAAATAAATATGTACAAGACGAATCAAGAAACTGTGAATGATTTTTTCTTTTCAAGCGATTTACACTGGTTCTCGGCGGCTTATTAAAGAATATAGTGGGGACTGCATCTCTTTTTAAACGTCTCTTTCCTTTTAAAGGGCCAAGTAACTTCGCTTTCAAGGCAAAGCCTTCATCAAAGCACGATGACTCGAAGTGTAGTGAGCACAGATGTGATTTCTTTGACAAATTACTCTCAGGTCTTGAAATAGAACGTATCCACTTTTTCCTTATTGGCAGACGATTTACAGCAGGAAGAACATGAAAAGAAATGTTTGGGTCCTTTCTCTTGGCGTCGCTTCTACATTTATGAGCTACACAATGCGGCATACTTGTTGTAAAGAAATTTACACGGCATGAGAAAAATGTCAAAAATGTAAACAAATCTACGAGCAACTAGCGAGCGAGCGGCCGGCAAACCACGACATGACGTCATAAATCTTCGTCAGAAAACACAGGTATCACATTCGGATATTTTTTGTACCTTTGACGTTATTTACGAGAAAAAAAACAGTTTGGAAAAAAATGGATATGAAATTTGAAATCAGCGGCCTGAATTGTAAATGAAGCTCAAGTTCATTTTTAGTGTAGGATCCCTTTAAATTATCTTTCCGTTTTACTTTTTTTTAATATTTATTAAGTCTGAATGGTTTAATAAACTTGAAAGTAGCCTAATTTGCAAAAAATTTAAATCAAGAAAAGGAAAAAGACAGTATTATAGAAGTAAAGGAAACCCTCAAGAACACCCAAGGGCGTGAACAAAAGGTGATGTAGAAGGATTCTGTCATGTCATCAGTCTACGTCACTACGGAGTCACATGAGATGCGCATGCGCATTACCGATCAGTGTAGGCGTTCTTGCCATTCAGTTAACGTGAGTGTTTTTTCATCTTGAAAATTCTACRTAAATCCGTGCCATCCTTTGGCTACAACACTTTCTCCTTATTCAGGAACGAAGGTAAGACACATACTGTCATATTTCTTTAGCAGAATCAATTTATTTCTTAATTTGTGATAGGGAAAATGACCGAACAACGAAGCGAGTCGCAAAGCGACACCATACACGAGGTAGTGGAAAACACTGCCAGTACTTCTAGAGAAGATGATTCAGCAATTAACCTTGCTACTACTCTTGGCGAAATGAACAAGAACATGAGCGAAATAGCTGGAATATTGCTTCAAATGAAGCAAAATCCCACTGGGAAGAAATGAGAGCAAAACGTGGCAAACTGCCAAGAYAGGAGTTTAGTGACTCAGAACACGATTCAGAGAG